GGGGGGGGGGGGGGGGGGGGGGAAGACCAAAAGGCAACTTTGAGAGAACTGTGAAGGTTAAGAAAACATTCATGAATACTATTGTGCTGTTGTACTGTCTATGATGTTTAAAATAATCTGTTGTTTGTGATTTATGGCTTCTGTTGTACTTTGTGGGTGAATAGAGAGCTCCTGTAAAGTGCACTTTGCTTTATCTTCCATTCCAACTTGAATAGAATTAAAAATAGTTTGCTAAAAAATCAATGCATATGTCCTTGATGTTTGTTTTGATTTTGTGTACTGATTGGGAAAAGTTATGATTAAGTTATAAGTTAAGTTGGGTTTTGACCTTTCTGCAGGACAGTGATTGTGGTGGTGAGATGTAAAAGAAGAAAAACATGAATTCCAGTTGGACTGTTCTGACAGCAGGAGAGATCAGATATGAAGCAGATCTAGGGCCACATATGCAAGTGACCTATTACTGTTTAAAATCAATTTGGAAATCAGTACTTGCTTGATAAAATCAGATTTGAGTCACTTAGTGGCCAAAAATTGGATTTGGGTAATATCAGCATGTAATGTGAGAATAGGTGGTATGTGTAACTACCCTTTAGTGCAAGGATGCCTATGGTGTACGCCTCGCGCGGCCGGACCCGGCTCACGGTAGTTTATATAACAATTACACATTCCGGTCCCATGGGGTTGAATGATTGGAGAGTTTTATTTTATGACTATTTATACAATCCAATGTTTTTATTTTTATTTTAATTTTCGTGGAACCCAGAGTAGCAGTTTGACATAGACTACCGCTGGGTGAATGACTTTGTAGCACGGACGGGAAGACAAACAAGCTCAGTGAGCCCCCCTCCTCCCCTCTGTTATTCAGCTGTAGCGGACATAAGTTCCATCCTTCTTGTATACCTACCTAGTGAAGGACGACATCGCCCATCCTTAAAGCGTTAAATTAGCTTGCACCAAAAACTTTTGATCAGCACTCAGCATGGTTAGCCTGTAACGATCAGTGTGGGCTGCAGAGTCACAGTAGTACAACAGCCAGAGCTCAGACACCTGAAGCTTCTGATCTTCAGAAGGGATACTGACTGATTTCTTTGATTGTACGCATTCAAATCTTTTCTTCCTGTTGAACCTCTGCGAGCAATTTGTCTTTTGCGTCAGCTAACGAATATCACTCGTATAATTACATACTTGGAAGTCATTTTCTTCTGTGTATATCATGACCAGAGCAAATAAGCATTCCCACGAGCTGTGGGTAATGCTGGTCTCAAATTCACAGCCAAGTGTAACTGTGTGTCTCAGCAGCAGGTGACAACTCTGCACCAAATTTGAACTTTTTGACATTAACTATCTCTCTGCAACTACATTTGCTCATCAACTATGAGCGGAGAGGAGACCACAAAGAGGGCTGCCAGGAAGAATAATTCTGGATGTTTTCTGAAGAGTGATGAGAAGAGGAAGACTCTAGAAAGTTGATCATTTTCCGTCCATTTTGCATTTTTTTGGATCAGATTCACCAACCAGAAACACAAGGAATTCACATTTCAACATTCCGGCTCATTTTCACCTTAAAGAAGCCCATTGAGATAGAGTTTGAAGCAAAAGGCAACTTGAGAGAACTGTGAGGTAAGAAAACATTCAATTATACTATTGTGCTGTTGTACTGTCTATGATGTTTAAAATAATGCTGTTGTGTTGTGATTTATGGCTTCTGTTGTACTTTGTGGGTGAATAGGGAGCTCCTGTAAAGTGCACTTTGCTTTATCTTCCATTCCAACTTGAATAGAAATTAAAAATAGTTTGCTAAAAAATCAGTGCATATGTCCTTGATGTTTGTTTTGATTAGTGTACTGATTGGGAAAAGTTATGATTAAGTTAAGTTATAGTTGGGTTTTGACCTTTCTGCAGGGACAGTGATTGTGGTGGTGAGATGTAAAAGAAGAAAACATGAATTCCAGTTGGACTGTTCTGACAGCAGGAGAGATCAGATATGAAGCAGATCTAGGGCCACATATGCAAGTGACCTATTACTGTTTAAAATCATATTTGGAAATCAGTACTTGCTTGATAAAATCAGATTTGAGTCACTTAGTGGCCAAAACATTGGATTTGGGTAATATCAGCATGTAATGTGAGAATAGGTGGTGTGTGACTCCCTCTAGTCACTAGAGGGAGTCACTAGAGTCTAGTGGATGTTGTGGAGTATTGTGTTGTCTTTGCTCCATAGGTTTTTGTACAGAGTTTTGGTGTTTCCTGTCACTGTGGACTTCACAGCATAGTAGTACACAGCAGAGTCAGTCACTGCAGCAGAGGAGATGTTCAGATGAAACTCTTTAGTTTTCTTGTCATGTTGTAAAGATAGTCCTGGTGTGTTCTCTGAATAATCTGCGATGAGAAACTGTGGAGATGAACTGGACTTCTGTTGATACCAGTAGAGTCTTTCTACAGAGCCTGAATAGTTGCAGGAGAGAGTCACAGTGTCTCCTTCTGAACCCATCACTTCATATTTAAATGGTTTCACTAAATCCTCAGAGGATCCTGAAAAAAACAAAAAGATATTTCAACATGGATGAAATATTCAAACATTTTTAGACTGAAGTTGATTTTTAAAAAAGGTATTTAATCCAAAGAGCCTGTTTTTCCATGAACATCTACTAACTCTCAGATGTTGCTTTATGTTTTGAGAACTTACCAGAATGAAAGGAGACGATCATGATCCAAACTAAAAGCAGCAGCATTATTTTCACTTGTACTGAATGAACAATAGAGAGAACTCAGCAGCTCTCAGGTCTGAAATGAAGCCTTTCATATTGAGTTGTGTAGCTCCTCCTCTTGCTGTGCTCTTTTTCCATTCAGACTGATGGAAGCTCTAGAAATAACAATGATGCTGCATCATCATCTTCTTCATCAGATTGAAGGAGGAACCTGCAGAAAATTCACCTGAATCAATCTGGAGAGAAACAACTTTCTGAAAACTCCAAAAGCTCCGCTGCTGCAAACTGTAGAGAAAGTCTGACCGTAATTGGTCCAATAAGATCACTCTATAATCAAGCCCTAAAAGTCTTGGATAAGAAACCATAACAGTTTCATCATTGTGATCTATTCTCAAAATACAAAATGATGAGCCTTAATAGACTTGTTATGCTCTCAGATATTCCCTTAGTAAACAAGATTATCCATAATGCTGCTCTACACACACCTTCTCACCCCCACCCTCAGGACTGTGTGACTGCAGAGTCCTAAAATGAAGGTCTGCCTTTTCTCAGTCAGTCTTCTCTTATAAGGCCATCAAAGAGTGGAATAGGCTCCCTCACGATCTATGAAATATTAAAAACTACCTCAGTTTTCCCTGTGAGGTTAAAAACTGTGTTTTGAGCAATCAGTCACGTCAGCACTGATCTTGGGTATGTGTTAGCAGTTCCCTTTGTGGGCACAAGTGATGCTAATTTTGTTAAATGTAGCTATTGACCCTCTTATGTTGCACCTTGAAATATACACTGAATATCTCATGGTTTCTACTGTTTCTATTGTGGTTTTTATGTAGAAAATGTTGTTATTGTGTGCACATATTGTATTTTGTGCTGTCTAATCTTTGTCTTTTGTCAGGTCCCTGTATTTTCTGTATTCTGAAATTTTTCGTGATGCGTCTGTTTGTTAAATGGTGGACTACAGATGGAAATTAGCATTTCACTGAATCTGGTGCAACTATCGTTTCACTTCTGGTAAATGATCAATATCATTGCACATTGTTGCTATCTTGAATTAAAAAAAGAAAAAGTGAAACATATTCAGATCAGAAGAAGAAGTGAAGATTAAATTATCACCATTCAGGCTAAAACGTTGTAGATTGTACATTCAGACTTTATTATCATGCCTATGATCAACTTTCTGAGCAGCTGATTATCTACTGAATCCAGATCTAATGATTCTGAAAGATTTAAATGATGTTATTAATTCTGTCAATCATCTGTAATCTGTTTAATCTTGAATTTTTTATTTCCTTTTTTATCATCACTTCAAAGAATCTAGACTGGATCATAAGAAACCATTGAAGTTTAACAGTTTGTGTCTCCCTCTAGTGGATGTTGTGGAGTATTGTGTTGTCTTTGCTCCAAAGGTTTTTGTACAGAGTTTTGGTGTTTCCTGTCACTGTGGGCCTCAGAGCACAGTAGTATACAGCAGAGTCAGTCACTGCAGCAGAGGAGATGTTCAGAGGAACTGACTTGTTCTTGATTGTAGCATTAAATCTTTCTTCCGTGAAGTCTGGAGCATTGTCTTTTCCATAAGTATCACGTCGTAATACATGCTTGGGAAAGTCATTTTCTTCTTGTTTGTACCAGAATAAATAGGGGAGCGAATCAGTTGTCTCAAATGTACAGTCAAGTGTAACTGTGTGTCCTTCAGCAGCAGTGACATCAGCTGTTGGCTGGTTCACTCTGTCTTCTCCTTTACACTCTGGGAAGAACAGAACATGCAGAGGAAGAGATGAATCAATAAAGATGATTGATTAAAGGAGAACAGTCAGTAGGTTTAAAGAGTTACCTATCCAGAGTCAGACACACACACATGTAGAACAGATGTGATTTTCACTGATCATTGTCACTTTCAACCATAGAAAGTGTTTTTACAAGGTAACAAATGTCAGCAGAAATGATGTGCTCTGATTTTCTGTATAATAAACATTAAAAGCTCTGACTGTAGAGCTCAGTAATATGTTAAAGTGTCTGAAGAGGAAACATGTTGTGCTTTCTATCTTACCAAGGAAAAGAGAAGCAAGAATAATCCACAGCCAATGTTCCATCTCTACAACAAGGTTTAAATCAACAGGAGAAACTAGCTGATGTTCAACATTCACTCTGACAGTTGTTCTCTTCACAGCAGCAGTTATTATTGACACAGTGGTTGAACACAGTGAGGAAGTAGTGCACCGCCTACTTGATAATGTGGCCCTCTAGTGGAGGTAAAAAGTAGAGTTCAACAGTGTGGAGAAAAGGCTTCCAGCAGCTTGTCAGTGTGTCAGCTTGTGTTTTTGTACAGAGACTGTGGGTTTGCTGTCACTGTGGGCTTCACAGCACAGTAGTACAGAGCAGAGTCAATCACTGCAGCAGAGGAGATCTGCAGATCCATTCTGGTTTTATCACCACTCACTGTAACTGACAGTCCAGACTTTGTTTCATTTTGATTTCCCAAGTGAAAGATGAGGAACTCTGGTTGTTTTCCTGGATATTGTCGATACCAGAAGAAACGATCATCACTAGTTGCTCCTCTGGAGTAGTTGTAGGACAGAGTAACAGTGCTGCCTTCTGAACTGAACTCTTCAGTCTTGACTGGAGTCAGTTCTTTACAGCTGACTCCTAAAGAAACAGAGAACTCTGTTATAACATGATGTAAATGTTTCAATACATAATTTACATTCATTTTCCTGCATGATCTCACATACCTGTTAGAGTAGAGACAAACAGTAGAGACAGTCCATAATAGTCCAATGACAGCATGTTGAATAAAGGTAATGTTGATGGTTTGTGTATTGAACTGTGCTGAATATGGAAGTTCCTCTCTCTTCTATAGTTCAGTAACAGCTCAGCTCCTCCCTGAATCTCTCCGTCTCCTCTTAGATCTGTATTTTCTCTTTTCTCTGTGACACTTCCTCCTGGTGAACAGACTGGAGTGTCACACCGTGGTGAGGTTGTCTTGTCCTGGGTATGTTTTGTACTGTCATTTCCTGTTTTATTTTGAAAAGTAATTCTCCTCTCGTTTCAGGTCACTTGCCCTTCCTCTTGTGTCTCAGTCTGATTGCCCAAAGTGTTTCCACCTGTTCCCCTATTTCCCTCCATGTGTTTAAATAGTCTGTGTTCCCCTTGTCTTGTGCCAGAGTGTCTTCGTCTTTGACCTGCACCCGAGCCTTTGTCCGTGTCCACAGCCGTAGTAGTCGCCAAAGTAAGCCGTATGTACCTCGAGAAGAGTGATTTTTTTTTTGTTTGTAAATTTTTCCATAGTTAAATTTCATAGCCCTTTTTTTTTCCTCGTTGAGAGTGGTTTTTTGTTTGTAAATTCTTGCCATAGTTTAGGTTCATAGCCCTTTTGTTTTTCCTCTTTAAGAGTGAATTTTTGTTTGTATTTCTTCCTTTAGCCTAGTTATTAATAATTCTGGATCCTCCGCTTAGGAGCGTGAGTAGATTATTTTGGTTTATTTTTACGTAGTCAGGTTTTTCTTCCGTACGGAGCGTTTTGTGTTAATCGGTTTGTTTCTTTTGATTAGAGCTTTTTTCCTCTTCCTGGAGTGTTTTTCGTTCCTCAGGATTCAGAGTTAGTGTCTAGTCTTTGTCATAGCCATTTTGTTTGTCACTCTGTCTGAGGTCTCCGGTGGTATCAATAAAAGCCTATTGTTTTCTAAATCTCTGCATCTGAGTCCTGCTTTGAGTCTCGGCTTGACATGGAGCAGCTTTTGTACCATTGGACTAGATTTACAAAAGGTTCTTTGTGATGATTCAAAGGATAGATCACCTTTTCAAGATCATCAAACAAAAGAAGGAGCTAATGCTTGCTTCTGAGACGGCATTATTTAATCACTGTACAATATACATCAGATGATGATGAAAGGAAAGGTCTACACTTAATATGACACAGAGTGTCAGCAGTTTGTTCGACAGACAGTTCAGAGAGTTTGATTTTACCTGGTTTACTGAATTGTACAGGCAAGTAGAAGGATCTGAGTTTTAGACACAGATGTTACTGCAAGGATTTTAATATGATATATAATCACAGACTGTCTGTAAAACAAATGAAACTTGATTTATTTAGAAAATTATTTGATCCAAAGTACATGTATGTTGAAAATGAGAGGACCTATGATTGAACCCTGTGGTACTCCATTCCCCAGATAAAAATCCACGAGCAGAGAATACATACAAGGAAATTCTTTAATGCAAAGATGAGAAGAAAAGCAAGTGATACAGGTGATCTGTGGTACCACTATGTCATTGGTGAGTAAGTTATTGGTGGCGATCTGTTCAGTGAAGGTATGGAGTGCCGCCGGCG